TGTGTGTGTGTGTGTGCTAAAACAAAGTCTTCTCCTCTTCACAGAGACCATGTTGAGTTTCGTGGATGACATCATGTCAGGGGCCAAATCTCCATGTGTGATGCTCGGGGACATCCCTGATCCCCTCTCATCTATCTCCTTGATAATACGCTGTTTGGAGCCAGACACCACATACATGTGAGTTTCTTCTGCTATATAATGTCATGATATAATGTCATAATGTATGATAAAACCACCTGTCGTATCATAATTTTATTTTGATATAAATTCAGTTTTTCATGCATGTTGGAATAATAATAAAATTATAAATTATTATTATTATTATTAATAATAACAATAATAATAATTATTATTATTAACGCAAGGGCGGAGCTAGGGTTCGCCACCCCACTCACAACTGTTGCTTCTCTCTTTTTCCTTGACAAGAATTGAGTTTATTTAGACACGGAACGTCTTTACAACCACATCAAATGGGAGACTTTTCAGACGCGCACTACAACTTTGTCTTAGTGCCAAGTGCCAGGCGTGTCAAACGAGCGCAGAATTAATCACGATTCATTTCTGAAAAAAAATGTGATTAATAAATGTTTTAATCGATTAATAGCATTAATCGATTAAAACATTTATTAATCACATTTTTTTTCAGAAATGTGCCAGTTTGCTTCAGCATGGAGCACCTGTTTCCTTTGCCTTTTCCTCACCATGGCAGAGGCACATTTATTGAGAGTTCAGTAAGAAACAAAATATAAAGGGCCCACTTTTGGCTGGATGATTCACTTGGACTTTGAACTGAAGTTGAGTTGCATGTCTTCAGTCAGATGAGGGATTTTAATATCTGCGTGAGTCTAAGCAATTACATCCAACTAAGGCTGTGAAAATCCGATAATGATTTGTGTAAAATATGTCTGGAGTAATTCCTACCTATGTCAATTTTCCAATATCAGTAGTTGATTTAGAATGTGCTTTTCACTAAATGGCTTGGCAGTTTCTATAGCAGGTAAGGAACCTTCTTGGAAAGTATAATTGGTCCAATCATCGCTTTTGAATAAAAGCTAGTGACATCAGCCCAACATCTTCTATTGGATGTGGTAATTGCATTGGGGGCCCCTGTTTATTTCGACTCTCTTGGATAGTTTTGTGACTACATCCTTTTCTCAGGAACGTTCATTTTTATGCCACATGGAAGAACATGGTCTGCGAGCACAGTAAGACTAGTTTTGCATGCTTCAGATACACCTGGGGAAACATTTCATAATCTGGAATTGTTTGAAAGTGCGTCAAAGGATGCACTCCGTGGTAATAGCAGAAACAGCAATAGAAAGATTGATGTGTTAAACTGAGCTGCATATAAATGGTTCAACTAAACGTTTGACATTAGTAATATATTGTGAGTAGATGGAAAAACAGGAACCACAATATACGATGAATAATGATGCTCAAAGGAAGCTTAATAAAAATGTAAATTATGATATAAATTAGTGGCTCTCACTGTAGGGTTGTGACCCAAAAGTGCAGTAGCCCCTCACTGCAGAACACAAGATCCAGGGGGCGTGGTAGGATCCACATCTAGGGGGTGGAGATTGGTAGGTTTAGGGGTGGAGATGGGTGGGTTTAGGGATCAGGGGTGGAGACGGGTAGGTTTAGGTATATGTAAGGTGGGAGGAGTTGGATCTGGATCCAACCACGCCCCCTGGATCTTGTGTTCTGCAGTGAGGACCATCTCCAGAAATATGGTTAATAGTAATAAAAATAATAGTATATAATAGTATAATAGTAAATTATTATTACATTACATTACATTACATTACATTGCATTGCATTGCATTATATTATATTATATTATATTATAAACCAATGGTTCTCACTGGTAGGTTGATTTCCTGTGCTACATGTCCTGCACATATGCAGGCAGTTAGCACACACATGCAGGGCACGCTGAAGAGATTACGCCAGCCTACAGGGAGGTGTGGGTCCTCCTTACTGTACCTCTTTCCAAATGTTTTTGATATTTGACCATTGTTCAAAGAACAGGTTGACTTTATATTATTTATGGATCTGTTCAGTGTTATTGTCAGGTTCATTTCAGTTTTAGGTTTCAAGAAAAATACAGTGGGGTCCAAAAGTCTGAGACTGCTAGTGAAAATGCTTCTTTTTAGCATCATTTTTGTTTTTGTTTTTTATTTTATGTATTTATTTATTTATTTATTTATGCATGTATGTATTTATTTATTTTGGATATTGTGATATTACACTTTATTTTCAGCACTATCACCAAAACAGGTGTATGGAATCTAAACATAGTTTATGTGTGTGTGTGTGTGTGTGTACCATACACCTGTTTTGGTGATAGTATACATATAAACATATAGACTACAAACAACCCTTATAGAGTAGGTTAGACTGCATGAATCTCTCTTCATCCATAAATCACACATATAAGATTGCATCAGGTTTCTCCACATCACATGCACTCTCAACTTGCCACTTTGCCATAGTGCAGGTGGTAGCTGTTTATAATATCTTCCACTAGATGGGGATATCGTTCAACATGATCTTTACAACTTGCGCCTCATAGCCTGTGGCATATATCATCAGTGAGTAATTGCAGTGATGTTTTGGGAGTGAGTGGGTACACCGCCACAGCTGCTTGCTGTTGTTCAAGTTCAGTTGTCTGCACTTAAGGGATCCTCAAATCAAAGCCATGAGCCGAAGGTAAACTCATGCTTATGTAATGGGAGTGGTGCAGTCATGCATTTTGATTTTAATGGAGGTATATGCTGTTATATGATTACATAATTCGCACACTGAAACTGTTTTTTCACTCTGAACTTCAAAGTACTCCTTAAAAGGTAATTGTTCATAATTTCCGATATCTATTCGGAAGTGTTATTTCCAACTAAATCTAGGAATAAATCCTAATACACTTATTTATTCATTTAACCTTAACCCTTAAATATTATATTTTGATAAATGTTATTGTTTGAGACATGCATCTTAAATTATTTTGAAAATATAATTAATGAAAGAAGGAGCAAAATAATAATTATTATTATTATTGTTATTATTATTATTACTTATTAAATACTACCACTACTACTAATAATAATACTAATAACTATTATTAATATTTTGACACATGCATCTTAAAATATTTTACAATTATAATTTATTAAATAATAATCATCATAATCCTAAAAATAACAGTTATTAATAAAAGTACTAAATAATAATAATAATAATAATTTTTAATATACTATGTAGCCTCTAAACATGTTGAGCTGTGGTGCTTATATTGGAGATGTGGTTCAAATTTTACGTGCAACATATCCCAATCATATTACTGTACAAAATACTGTATTTCGTACTTGAGAATCGAATGAGTGACAAATATCTAAATGTGAAACGGCAGGTTTCGGCTGTGGGCGGTGGACAACACGGGTCGGCGTTCCAGTCCGAGTGAGGTGACGATCAAAACTCCCTGTCCCGCCGTGGATGATGTCAAGGCTCAAGGTAGAGAATTGATTTTCTAGAATAAACTTCATAGGTTTGGAAAGTATTCATAAGATTATAAATCTTCGGATTCGGTTGAATGTCCCCTCAGAAATAGCAGACAAGATTTATAATCTGTTCAACGGCTACACAAGCGGGAAGGAACAGCAGACAGCCTACAACACGCTCATGGACCTCGGCTCATCAGCCCTCCACCGAGTTCTTTACCACTACAACCAGCGCTACGAGAGCTTTGGAGAGTTTACTTGGCGCTGTGAAGATGAACTGGGGCCCAGGTTTGTAAGATGATTCACTGATGAAGCTTTGTTATACAAAACCTAGCTGCCTTTTAAGACTATAATGGGACTTCATAAGTGACCAGATTGGAACGTTCTATATTGCCAGAAATTCTGTCCCAAATTAGTGAGTGAGAAAGGGAAGGATTTTTTCTATCACATTCAACAACAGTGTTACGCTCGCTGCCACTGTTCTAGACTGTTTGTTCTGCCTCTTAAACGTAAACTTAACTTGTGCAACGATTGGTGGGAACAAACATATCTCTATTAATTATCTTTAAGCTGAAGTCAGGACTAGTCTATATAGCCTGAATAAAGCAAACCAGTATCTCACCAGTGAAGTTTTAATGGATGCCTTCAGATCACCACATTTGACAAATTCAGAATGTTTTTTTTTGCTTTTTTTAATTACTGTTTTGCTCGGTTTAATAATTCTGAATGGATCCGTATATATTTATATACAGTCAGGTTAAGGCGACTGGTATAGTGGTCTTTTGGCATCTCTGTGTGGTCCTGTTTGGCTTGTTATAGAAAATGCTCTAAACAAATGTGGCATTTATTTTTTCCTCACAGTTTTTTTTGCTGTTGCACTGTATACATAAATTGTGAATTATGAAAATTAAAAAAAGTTTTAATTTATCTTGAATATTCTTGAAGAAAATATAGTTTTGTGAGAATCATCCTCAAACTTAATCTTGAACTTGGTAAAACAATTTTCTTTATTTAAAATATAAAAAATCTTAATATTTTTTCCTTTTGTTATACTGGGATAAATCATACTGGGATGTATGCTAAAATTGTTGGAAGTGGCGCCCTACCTAGAAAATTTGGTTCCAAATTGCACTCCACACTGCAGACTTGACTTGCAGTTGATTTCAGTAGAGTTTGATGTTAGCATGCTGCTATGCTAACAGCACAATACTCTGCAACACTTTAAAATATATATATACATACATTAAGTATAATGATCAGTTTGGGATTTATTTATTATGTTTAATTTATTTATTTCAATTATGTTGCATGAATGTTTAAATGTTTTACTGTTAATTGTATTAACTGCTTTTTTATTAACTATATAGTTTTGAATTCACCCAATTTATCCATTTTGGATGCAGACTTGGATTTATTTTGTTCATTGAGTTTGGCAGAATACATTATGGGATGCTGCCTTGGAATGCATGTGGGAATGTTAGGGGGACATATACATTTTTATTGATTGCAATTAAACCCGATAACTTGTTTTACAAGCTTTTGTATTTTTTTTTTAATGTTTTTCATTGCTCCCTAAATTACATAGTAAACACAGATTATTCTATTACGGAACCTAAAGTCAGACTTGTGATTAGGGTATTTGTGCTAATTAGGTTTAAATTGAACACAATCAAACTGATTACAGTACATTTAAAGGGATCACTAAAGCATCACGCTGACCACAAAACAGGGTAGTAATCTTTATACACCCTCCAAAACAAACCAAAGACTTTTCGAATTGCACTGAAACACTTTCTAAACACAGCCATGTGTTCGATATAAAACTTGAACACTTCCTCGCTGATGCACAGTAGATGCAGGTGAATTTAATTATGGCCATTTGGACAAACGTACCTGAGGCCTCAGTTCAAATTAAAAGGTTGTATTTAATTGTCTCCATGTTGCAAGGTTTTCCTTTCTTACTCCTGAGTTACTGCATCAAAACACACTTGTATCAAACACTATCCCACCCAGTGTGACTGATGAGAAGGAACTGCTGTGAGGACTGCTGTGAGTAGGTGCTTTCAAACCAAGATCATGGATTCATGGTAGATTAATCAGGCCTTTCAGTCTCATGCTTCAGGCCTATTTCCTGAATGCGATATTTCTCATTCATGCCCAATGAGTCAAGGTTTGGCTAGTTAGCATGTTTTAGTTATTTACCCTTAAAGGGTATCAGTAACTTAAAAGTACATATTAGTTTCTAATGTAATATCTAACGTTTTGAAAGGGTAGCACATCAGTGACAGCTTTTGTACATGTATTTATTTATTTGTCTGTCTGCCTGTCTATCTATCTGAGAGTGTGCCTTAACTGTACCATTATAGGAATAAGAAATATCTTTATGCATTATATGCTGAAGAAATTATTATTAATATTATTAAGCAACATTTATATTGCAAATATTTTTTTGACCCTATGAGTCCTAAAGGGTAAAAGGTTTGTTGATCTGATGTTGATTCAAGTGATGTCATTAATACTGTCATTGGCCATCAGTGAGATTTGAGAACTGAGATGAAATTATAGCAGGTTAATTAGTATTAATTGACCTGCTGTCTTCTACGACAAATGCATCAAGATAACCCAAAAACAACATTCATTCGTAATTAATTCATCCAGATATTTGCACAATGAAGGGTGCGTGTGATCATGCCCCTATGATCGACCCAGTTCCATGAAATATTGCGCAAGTTTTTAGCCTTCAGATAAGCTGTTCTAGTGGAGGTCTGGGGAGATGGGCCATTATCTCCCCAGCATCTGTCTTCCAAACAACTTGTATGCGTCATTTTCAATCTCATTGCGTCCATACAGCATTTTTTCGGCATAGGATAGGATGGAAATATAAACAATGAGAATTTGTTTCTGTCTAATACAAGTCACACAGTTCACTGGGGTTTCCTCATCAGCAGCATTTAAATGTAATTTTCATGAACTAGTCATAATACAAGATAATTTTAATTAAACTGGCCCCCTCAGCATATAAACCAGTTCAGACTTGGAACAAAATAGATAAAAAAAGAGACTATTCGCTGTGTTTTCTTTTGTTTTGAGATATCAAAACAGAAATTTTTCTGATTCACTCTTAATTGGTGGCACTACTGGTTGGACTGACTCACGCTTTAATAGGTGGAATTCGGTGTGTTCGGTCAAAGTTCTTTCGCTGTTTTCGTTGGACATTAATGCTGTACAGTTACTATAAGGAACCACGTTGTCGCTGTCTCAGGAGTCATAAGGCCATTCCAAATGGATGATATGGAAGTCGATAGTGAGTGAGGTGGGTTGGTGTGTTACTGTAGATGTCGGTGGAATGCAGCTGATTGTTTCCTCCCAGACTATTGCAAGAGATTTCGGAAAGCTTGAGTGAGATAGAGGCACTGGCAGAGCCCAAGAGGTTGAAAACGTACCTTGGAAATAAAAGGCCATTTTCCACTTCCACACATGCTGGGATTTATGGTGACAACCATTGCTATTTGGAGACCAAAATGGACTTTCTTGAAAAATTAAAGGATAACAAACCACAGCGTTTTGTTTTAAGCAAATAAACAGCCAAATTCCTACAACCACTGAAATGTGGCAAGATATTAAAAACATAAATGCACTCAAAAAAATGATGTAAATGACAGCATCTCTACAGCAGACAGGAATATTTTTCATTTAATATGCTAGTGATTTTTGACATCATTAAAATTCTATTATTATACGTTATGAATTAATTGGAAGCCAAAGTAAATAATAAATGTATACGTTGTCGCGTGAAACCTCATTGAATTGCAAAAGCAGTCAAACAAGACATTGTGCGTTCAGTTGAATCGGTTTAAGCCACATTATAATTGTAAACACACTTATAAAATACACTTAGCTACTGCTCTGGGCGTGTGTTCACGGTGTGTGTGTGTTCACTGCTGTGTGTGTGCACTTTGGATGGGTTAAATGCAGAGCACTAATTCCAAGTATGGGTCACCATACTTGGCCACATGTCACGTCACTCAAAGCCTTGTTGGTCCACACAGATTTGGTTTTCGGTATTTATGCGGTAGAGAGTTGAGCTTCTGGTTTGGCAGGGGTTTGAAGTGAATCTATGACTTAGGAATGAGGCGATCTTTCCGTACTCTTGGTATCGCATTTCAGCTTCTTGTCTCTTGCGACGGATATTGTCACTTCAGTGCATTCACACTTACTCAATAAACGCCCCTCTCAAGTCATCATCGCTAATAGAATTCACAGGTACTTAACCTTAGCTGCCGTTCACCTAATCGGTCCTGTGTTACCTCTCTTTAAAGAAAATTTCTCTTTAAAGGCTTTGCCATTACAATTTTGATATAAATACACCACAGGCTTGATTTATGGTCAAACTCCTCAGTCCAGATTTTGAAGGGCGTCATTTAAGGGCTGCAGACAGAAGACCTGTGTTTTAGCTGAATATGGCCATCGCCTGCAGTTTATATTTGTTATATTGGAGTCTCCCATTAATCTTTCAGTCTCATGCTCTGGAGCAGCTTGTGAGGTGGGCATTCTCAGAATGGATAAACAGAATGGAATGCTCAAAACCACCGGAGGAAGAAAAATTTCAAACCAGTGTCAAGAGCATTACGTAATAGTAATATTCTAAAAAATATGCAGAATGAGTATCACAATGGATGTTAGCAGAAAAAGACTGATTTGAATCACGTGCAGAGCAAGAAAAAAAGCAATTACAAAAAAAGGGATCAGTCAAAACAAAAGTACTGCATGTGAGTTTCATTTACTAAGGTTTTAATGACTAATGTTCCAAAAGATGATGAATATTGCTATTATAATATACTGTATATTTATAATAATAATAATAATAATACATATAAAACACATTATATTACAATTTAATATAACTATTTTATATTTTATTATATTTTAAAATGCATTTTGTTCCTGTATTGTTTTTCAGCAGCCATTACTCCAGTCTTCGGTGTTACATGATCAATCTGAAATCATTCTAATATTGGTGGTGCTCAAGAATTATTTATTATAAATGTTGAAAACAGTTTTGCCGATTAATATTTTTGTGGAAACTTTGTTTTTTCTTTGATGAATAGAAAGTCCTTTCTATTCTTTGATAACTATTATTTCTATACACTCTAAAATTAATTTTTCTAAAACCAATTTATTACATCCATGCTGAATTTAATGTATTTATTTCAACATAATATTGTCTAATTGCATATGTTCCATATGCATTTGACCCAGACAATCTGTAATATATAAACATTAACACACATTACTAACCAAGTATCATCTTTGTGTTTGCTCCTGCAGGAAAGCAGGATTGATCCTGTCTCAGCTGGATGAACTCAGTGGTTGGTGCCGGGGTCTCCTCCAGGAACCAAAAATTGGCTTGCGCAGAGCATCCCTCAAGTATCTGTCTTGTCGTTATACAGATACCAAAGCATTCGGGCTCAGCTGGGTGAATCTCGGCCAAGATTTACGTAAGGCCTGTGAAGATCAGATGCTCTCCGTTATGTACAATGATTATGGAGCACCCAAGGAACTTTAAGCCAACTTGGACAACAAGAGGACCAGTCAGGGGCCGTACCTCAACACGGCCTCCACTTTAGGGCTTCTCTCTAGAGAATCTGCTCATCAGTTTTAACATTAATTGGTCATTTAATGATGAAGGGGAAAATATTTTGTGAGAACATGAGCAGCCCATCCTGAGTTTTTAAGAAGCATTCAAGTGGTGTGTCTCTGGGCTTGCACATTAAAAAAATGTACAGTGTACAGTCAAAGGAAAGTTGCATTAAAGTGTCATTTAGACACTTTGTTTTTTCTTTGATGAATAGAAAGTCCTTTCTATTCTTTGATAACTATTATTTCTATACACTCTAAAATTAATTTTTCTAAAACCAATTTATTACATCCATGCTGAATTTAATGTATTTATTTCAACATAATATTGTCTAATTGCATATGTTCCATATGCATTTGACCCAGACAATCTGTAATATATAAACATTAACACACATTACTAACCAAGTATCATCTTTGTGTTTGCTCCTGCAGGAAAGCAGGATTGATCCTGTCTCAGCTGGATGAACTCAGTGGTTGGTGCCGGGGTCTCCTCCAGGAACCAAAAATTGGCTTGCGCAGAGCATCCCTCAAGTATCTGTCTTGTCGTTATACAGATACCAAAGCATTTGGGCTTAGCTGGGTGAATCTCGGCCAAGACTTACGTAAGGCCTGTGAAGATCAGATGCTCTCCGTTATGTACAATGATTATGGAGCACCCAAGGAACTTTAAGCCAACTTGGACAACAAGAGGACCAGTCAGGGGCCGTACCTAAATGCAGCCTTCCCGTTAGGGCTTCTCTCTAGAGAATCTGGTCCATCGGTTTTAACATTAATTGGATATTTAATGATGAAGAGGAAAATATTTTGTGAGAACATGAGCGCTGCTGATTTTTCAAGAAGTATTCAAGTGGTATGTCTATGGGCTTGCACATAAAAATGTATAGTGTACAGTCAAAGGAAAGTTGCATTAAAGTGTCATTTAGACGTGGTGTATTTTGTCAAATAGTGTATACACCAGCTTGTATAGGTAGGACTTTTTCCACAAGAACTAAAACTGTATCACCTTAATGTGCTGAAAATGTAAAATGTCTCTGTAGTGCATATAGATATGGAAAGAGCTATAGCAATTGTAAATGTTAGTTAATTATTAAACACTACTAATGTGCTGTATGTAGTATTCAAACTAAGGTATGAGAGGTCAAGAAACTGTACAGGAGTTTTTTTGTTGTTGTTTTTTTTAAGTATAAGCAGTATTATGAAAATAACCATTTTAAAATTGTGTTCAATAACATGTCTTGTTTATGTTTTATTTCCTATTCCAAATAAAATCGCCAACATTAATTCACTGATTATTTAATTGTTCAACTGAAATTTGAACAAAAGTAATGAGGGCTGCACATTTTTGAAAGTCTTTAAAGTTGTGATGAAACTTAAGTATACCAACAGCTCTTTTCTTACGCATCGACATATATCTGAGCGAAAAAAAAAATATTGGAAAAAAAATGCAAGCCGGGAAAATATTTCTGTCCAGTTCACCAGTTGTTGATTGGCTGGAGGCATATTTTAAGGTTGATTGTAAAAAGAGGTGGCGCTTAAGCAGACTAAATGACTGGCCAGCATAAATCAACAGAGTCGTCTGTGATTTTCAGAAAATTTAATTGTGACATTTTAAGAACATTCAGAAATCCAGCCTGAAATCATTCAAAATAAGATCAATAACATGCATTTATAAAATAGATTTTCTTTAATATTTAATAATTTCTTATATAATTTTTTTCCCTTTATATTATTATTCTATTATTTCTTTAACATAATGTTTTTTTAAGATATTTAATATTTGACTTATATGATTTCATATTGTAATTTCAGTCTGCATCTTGCACCATTTGATGGTTAAAAATAACCTGATATTATTTAAATCTTGATTTAAAAAAAAAACATGCTGAGCACAATTACAGACATCAACTTTTTTAAACCAACCAAACTTCTTTAACGGTGTGTATTTATACTTTATTGATATGACAGTGAACCTACACTTTAACAGACAGAAGAGCATACAAAAATAGTATCATATATTTCCATTACAATTGCTATAAATGAAATCTCGCATGCATTTCACAGGTTTTGCATGTACATGTACAGGGTATAAAATAACGAGAGGAAAAAATCCTGAAATCTCAAATTTTGAAAGAACTGACAGTCTGAGATAAGCACTTTGTATACCTGTATTAATGACATATAGGTGGAAACAATATTGAGAATGTGGCTCACAACAAGCAAGAGCTATTTGTATAAAATATAAAAATCAGCTACACTTGAAACTTTTGTGAGTGTGTGTTTGATGGTGTACATAATTGCTTGCGGGCTAAAATATGGGTCATATCTACATCTATGTTAGAGATCTTGAAAAAATATTAGGTATTATTTTATAGATTAATATTGAAGAGGATTGTTTTTATGCACTTATATGCTTTGATTTACTCTGCCTTTGATCAGCCTGGCACTCATGTGGAGTGAGAAACATTCAGGTTATTGTTTGACATTTTCTTTTCAAGCCAGTCTGAGAGCTTTCACAGCGGTCCTGGCTCCTTTCGCTTGGCTGTGCCCTTGTTCTCCTCGGCTTCGGGGTCACGGCAGGTGCACTCATCATGATCGCAGTCCACCCCGAACTGAATGACCTGTCAATCAACCGGACACGCTTTTACAAACAGCATCCAGAAAACATTCGGCCACAAACATCTACGGTATGTGGGAGCCACACGCAGTCTTTGAACAAGAGATCAAAGTGTGCTTTGGATAATTCAGCTCAAAAATACTTTAAGGCATCACAGTAGATCAAAACAATGAGCACTGCCTTTTTCCAGATGCATGATCGACATCAACTGTTGACCAAATTACTCAGAATAACCAATAGAATAAGAGTCCATTGATGAAAAAAAAAATTGGAGAATGGCCTGTTTGGGTGTTTATTTACCTAACCAAAAAGTCATATGGATTGGAATTTTTACACGATTGCTAGGATTGATAAGGACATGACGATCGCATTCAGTGCTGAAGGGAACAAAAAAAGAGAGAGAAAGCCGGACTGTGAGCAGATGAGTAAACGAGGTGAACACATGTTAAGAATCAACTGGAGGAGGTTCTCGTCCAGGATTCGTGCCATCACCACAGGTTGCAAAATAAACCCAAATTCCCAGCTAAGCGGCCTACTGCAGGAAAAGTAAACATGAAACTACAGCGTAAGCTCTTATTTCACCTGATGTTTACGAGATGCAATTGTCTCACTGCGGTACATTCGAGAGTATCCACTCATTTGCATTTCTTTGGAAGACGGAAGTTTTGCTTTGGTTTCATGCTAAATAATCATGATAGATGCTTTTCAAAATATCCAAAAATATTCAAAATATTTGCTTTCGGATCAACCGCAATTGTATCTCTGCATATAATTTTGTTTCCTGTGCATGTAATTTTGTTTCCTGTACTCTGACTTTTCCATGGCCTGCGTAAACAGAAGCATGGCAGCTGTGCCGGACCTACGGTGGCAGGATGCTGTTCCTCACGGTTTATTTCACTTTCTCAGACCCTGCTTGTTTTACAGTTGCCCGTGACCGCTGACACCTGGCCCTCTGCTAATAAAAGCTGTTCTATCCAGTCATTTATTTATGACAGACACTTCCCCCCCGAGCTCATTCTCTCTATGGGGGATCACGCCACCTGAGTGCCTAATGATGTGGGCGACGTTCATGGAAAGGGTTGACAATGTGGCGGCACCATGTGAGACAGAGAGTGGCACTGTGAGAGAGGAATGTGAAAGCAACGTAGGATGAATGTGGATGAGAGGAATAGCCTTTCAGATGAGATTTACCTTTCTAGATGAGAGAGTGGATGGACAGCAGTCTCCCCCGTCATATTGGCAGTACGCTCGGTTATTAATGGTGTCGCACCAACCATCTCCTCCGAATGGCTGCAAAGAAAGAGTTGCGATGAATTAACCAGATGACTGCGATCTTTTAAATTAGATTTTGAGTAATACATACAGAATAATATGTTTATAATGTATATTTGCTGTACAAAGAAAATTTTTGCTTGTATTATTAAAATAGTTTTCAAGTTAATTAATTAATTAAATAAATTATAAATAATAATAATAATATAATAATAAGTAATTAAGTATTATCATTGTATCAGTATCGGACAATATTGAATATTTAACTGTGCATGCTCGTTTCCTTTCCTTTTTTTTTTTTTTTAATTTACCGTAAATTATCTTAATGCCATCATCTAAAACTCGCTTAATCTTTAAAATCACTAATAACACTTCACAATAAGGATTTATTTGTTACCATTAGTTAAAATGAACAATCAAAATACTCATAAAGCATTTATTAATCGTAGTTAATGTTAATTCCAACTTTTACTAATACATAATTAAAATCAAAAGTTGCATCTGTCAACATTATTTAATGGACCTCAGCTAACATGAATTAACAATGAACAATTGTATTTTTATTAACTAACCTTAACAAAGATTATTAAACACTGTAACAAATGTATTGCTCATTGTTAGTTAATATTTGTTAATGATTAAATAATGTTAACTAATGAGACCTTATTGTAAAGTATTGCCATAATTTAAAAACACCGTTAAATGTAATCAAATGAAATTACAAAATAAAAATGGAATTACATCATTTTTAGTTGTCAGTCATAACATAAAAATAAAAAAAATACAAACCAAATAAATAATGAAATACAACTAAATTAATTTCATGATCACATTATTCTAAGAATGATTAATAGTTTCAAAATAATTAATATTATATAAACAGGCAAACTATAGCCTTCCATATGCAGGAACAGTTTATTATACATCCAAACAACCTGAACTCCCTGAACTAGTAAATGTGCCCTTAAAGTATTTTAAAGGTTCAAGCATGAGTTACCTCATTTTATTATGTACAATTAACAGTTTTCTCTGAACATGAGGAAAGAAATGCATGGATCATGCCAAAGGGATTTCTGTTATACCTTATGGTAGGTGGCATTTCTCATTTATTCCTTTCAAATAAAATAAAACCGCATCTGTTATTCCAGACAAAACTTCCTAACTTCCTTGTACTTCCTTCGATGTCATTACTTCACCTGTGTGAGAGCATGGTTACCCGTTTTGCAATGCCCAAGGGAGCAAAATCCAACCTTCTTGAGTGGACTACAATTATCAAATTTAA